ATTCCTGCTCTCTGGGGATCTCTGATAATGCGAGACAAAGTGCTCTTAACGATATATCGAGCTATGAACTAGATTAATGGGATAAACGGAATTTGTATGATAATAAAAATGTTTCCTATAAACTCTTCAGATGATAAATGAGATGACGGGTAAAGGTGGATGCTTATAATACAAAAAATTGATTTCACTTGTTATTGATGATTCTTCAACTTTTTTTTTGACATTTTACTGATATGTATAGATAGTATAAAGTATGGTAATAACAGATTTAATTTGTTTTATTGAATAATTAATTTATGATAGGTAAAACTAACATAAGAAAACTTGCCATATATTGATTGCTCAAGAACACTACATTTCTTAATTTTTGTCTGTTTTACTTTTCTGTATTATTTATAAAAACATTTCATAACAAACACATCACATAAACTGAAATTATTATTGCTTATACTACCTTTATACTACCCTTGTACCACCCAAGAAATTACTTCTAGGCGTTTATTCTCATTTCAGCTTGGTGGTCAGAGGTACGTAATGAGAGAGGGCAGACCTTACTGCCTTCGATGTTTCGACGCCTCGTTCGCCGAGTACTGTGACAGCTGTGGCGAACCAATCGGTGTTGATCAAGGGCAAATGTCGCATGAAGGCCAACATTGGCACGCTACTGAAGCATGTTTCTGCTGTGCCACTTGCCGCACATCCCTTCTTGGACGACCGTTTCTACCACGAAGAGGTGCTATTTATTGCAGCATAGCCTGTAGTAAGGGTGAACCACCAACGACGCCGAGCGATTCTTCCGCTGGACCACCACCACCACCGCCTTCCTTTCTCAGGTATTGTTCGGACCCCAGTATAATTAAAAATGAAGTACAGAATTTTCCACAAGTGAAATTATAAAGGTTGATAGTTTAGTATCTGCTGCAATTCCCAAGTTTTGAAAAGGCACTAAAACAATACATTTCATTAAAAAGAATAGTCATTGACTATACTGATCGTAAAATGAATATTTAAATAACCTTGATTTACTGTTTATTCTTATTTATTTTATAGAACTGGGCGGAGACAACCACCACCCAGCGAAGGTTCCTCAAGTCCACCACCGCCTCCGCCACCGCCACCACCTCCTGGATCCAGACATACTCTTTCTTCACCACGTAGTTCACCTCGGATGAATAGAAAGCATCATCAAACATCTGCTTCTCTGGCGACGACACCTACCCAGAGTACTTTGAGTCCCGAATTCCCGACTGAAGGATTTCCTTCGAGTGGTTCCAGACCAAGTGGCCTTGATCGGGTATTACTTGAAAGGAATCTCGAGAGACTTCTTCAGGAACGTAGTTCCCACCCGGAGGAAAACCGTAACGAATTGGGAAGGTACACTGACTTATTAATTTCATAATTTTGTAATTAAAAAAAAAGAACAGTTTTGAAATTATTATTAACTATATGATACTTGTGAAATTCAATTTAATATCAGAAGTAAGAAACAGTGAAATTTCAATTCGTTGTACTCAGATAGCAGTGCATAATTCATTAACATATTCATAAAAGAAATTAAGACAGAAATACTTACATATTTAAATATGCGTATGACAGATTGCCTATAGGTAAATCCAATTAACAGTCATAATCTTCTATTCTTAGGTTGATGCAAGCAAGAGATCGTGAACCATTAAGATGCGTTCAAAATTGTGCTCCTTCCCATGCATCGAGTATGCCAGAATTGCCACCACCTCCACGACCGTCGTCTAGAGCATCCGCATCGGCATCAACGTCGACATCAACCGGAGTAGCAGGCACATTGTCCGGGGGTATACTGGAGTCGGCGACGTCACCCACGACCCTCGTCGTCAGCCAAACGGATCCTCCGACGCCGACATCACGACGCGTGCGGTTTCAAGGGGACTTGGACGTGCATGACCATGTTGCTGTGTCATCCCGCATTACCCTATCGCCTGGCAATGATAGAAATTCATCTTCCTCACCTTCACCTCCTCCGGCATCATTGTCGAGATCGAATGTATCTCGATCGAGAAGTTTACAGCCGGAGGAAGTTGCAAGCACGTCCACCTGGGGTGTGTAACCTTTTCTACCCTATATAAGATAATACAGTTCATTTGGGAAATTTCTTGTCCACCTGTGGAAAGGAGACTTTTAATATACGGTATAATTGTACCTGACATATTTACTACATCTATTGTCTTTGTACCATCTATTATATTATACTACTCTGATTGTTATTAAGTAATTTATATCACATGTTATATTTACTACTAGGTATGAGATATACACTGTATTTCTTATGCTCAAATAACTATTATTCCATACATGTATACTTACACCAATTATATGACTTGTTGTAGGTGTCACTGGAAGCTCAAAATCGAGAATTGAAGGAGACGACGACGTCGAGTCTTGCTGTTCTACTTGCAGTTCGTCGAGCAGTTCTGATGAGGCTGCTGCATACGCTTTACCACCAAGGAGAGCGTATGGTGGTGTCAGGATCTCTTATGTACCCAATGACGCGGTAGCGTGCGCAAGGAAACGTACACCGACATCCTCGACGTCGAATCAAACGCAAAGGGACTCGGAAAAGTGCGTCGTGTCTTGATGATGTTCTCGAGTGTCTGAAGTTATTTCTATGTCGATGTTAATGTACAACCGATGAAGAAAACGCTTTTACTTCGCGATCAGATAATGTGAAAAATAGGTTCATATATATATAATCGAGTCTCGAACCAATGAACAATACGAAAGATGGATGAACGCGAGAAAATACAAGAGTTCCTAAAATCGACGTAACCGAGGTTCGCTAAGTTTTCTGCGGTCGAGACTCGATTATAGGGAGGATTTATATACTCGTGTACATAGATAACGTACTTCCGAAACGATCGCTCGTGAATACCGAACAATCGCGACGATCGCGCTTCTCCTTCTATTTTTATTACCCCGTTGAATGTATTTGATAATAATAACGATGATGATAACGTTATATTTTATTACCATTGCCATTCCCGCTGCGTAAACGATAGTTCAAACGAGCGTCGCATTCTTGTTCGAGATTCGATTGTCTTGTACCGATCAGCTTCTTTCGATAATGACCTGAAACAAGAATGTTGATCGGACAGACTTAGCTCCACACAAAACAAATAGTATTTAACTGTGATGCGATCGCATGATGTTACGCTGTAAGTACAAATGAAGAGCGTTCGGACCGAGATGTAGACAATCTGAAAAGTATTCAAGAAATAAATTGAGACGAAGTCTATCGAAATGATGATGTCATTCGATTATTTAATTTTTTACCTAATATTGATTTATTTCCACCAGTTTGTGTACGAATTACCCCTTTCTTCAATATATTTTTGCATATTAAATCACAGTATTAACATATATATTATGTTAGCTAATCTAAAAAATTATGTAATTTCATAGAAATTGTTATTTTGGGAGAATCATAATGTACAAGAACCTTTATACAACCAATGAATCATAACATGAAAAAAAGACTGAAATACTTCCTTTTAATTTCCGCATAAAATTTATAGATTCAATTAGAACCTGTTTGTTGAAATTTATCTGTCTCAACCAATCTCTACCCAAACAGCAACCAACCGAATCAATTCAACCATACTGTAACGCATGAAAACTCGCTTTCTACTTGTTTCAGCTAAGGTAAAATCAACTATAAACGAACCAACGTTCGGAAACTCGTAAAGCTGTTGTTCGACGATTGTCCCGTCACAAGAAAATGTGCATAACCTACAATTGAAATTACAAATAGAAATATACATGGTGAGCCATGTTAACAGTAAGATCTTAAGTATACAAAACTACGCGATACCTCAATTAGAGAAGGGAAAAATGAAAACTCACGGTCTAGCAGCGTAAAGAGCGAAAGTAGTTTCTCTCACCCGACGACACGGTTGTTGTTATGCCACTATCTCGTCTACTTGTTACACTCGTAAAAACTATCTCTTTCTCTCTCACCTTCTTTCTCATTCTCTAGCTTTCTCTTATTTCACGCGAGAGAGATCTCTGGTTTGTAACGAACCATCAGAGAAGGTAGAGGAATAAACCATGTCGATTTATTATCGACCGATGACCACGTTTCCAATCAAGGATCCTCGCGTTATATTACTTCAGATGGTGACACCATATTAGCACATGGCGTATACCTATCATGCGTGTCTCGCATATCGAGTAATTAATTACGAATGGCATTATACGATTATGTCACGGTAATACGACGGAACAACAGGTATATCACATTACACAACAGTTTGTGACATTTCGTGGCCTGAGAGGAATTTACAGAAGCTCATTCGATAAATTGTTGTATCATTCAAATATTTTAGAGGTTAAAATAATTTGAAATACTACATTGTTCTTACAGGAATATTTTTATTTTATTGATAATTTTAAGATATAGTACAAATATTATAATGTGCAGAAGAATTATGAGAGTTTTGATATTCATACAATATTCTTGTCCGTTTCTAACAGTTTACTTTCTCATTTCAGTCGGAAATACAGATTCACGGAAGCTTTACAAAGAATTTTTCTCTCGTTTCATGCACCTTTAGTATGCATACTTTGAAACGGTTGAAACAGCTTGAAGTGAAATTCTCGTCGCAAATCGTGTTTGGAACAGTTTTACTCTCCAATTACGCAAATCATCTTACGGACGTTTCTCCAGAAGTATTTTTCTCGCGTTTATCGTCTACATATTTGGTTGATGGTAATAATAGAAAATACATATACTCATAATGATTAATTTACAGTGAAAAATTAAGAACCTTTGAATTTTATTGAAATTAATAAATAATATATCTCAAATTTTTTGTTACATATTTATAATTTCGAAAAAGAACAAAAAATCAATCACATATAGAATAAAATATAAAAATTACATACGTGATATAATATTTATAAAATATAAAGAATTTTTCTAGTAAATTAAATATTTAGTTAGTACATTCAAAAAGGAGATGCGTAGAAATTAAGTAAAGTACTGATCAAGACTTAATGTTGGAATAAATTATACTTCAGCTACATTTATTGTGCTATATTTTTCTACACAGGTGATGAATTCCACTGCGAAGATTAGAGTTATGCAGGCCGTGGTTGTGCAACTATACGCGTAAGTGACTCGCTGTAGTTGCAACTACATACGCGTTGGAAAGAACGCACTCTCGCATAGCTGTTCTTTTTCATGGAATGTTTCACGACGCGTAACACGGACTATCCTGCCATGTTATGGAGCTTTACCATTGTATTGTTTACCCGATACCCAAGCGGTTTCTTTAGCAAGGTTATCTACGACACCACTCATAATAGTTGGCATGAAAGTCAATTGGATGTATCTACACGGGTATTATTTTCTATTTAATATTGAATTCTTCTCACTATTCAACACGAATTTTAATCTACAATATTCATTATGTGATTCTTGTAGAGTTTACTTTCCAGAACACGAATCCGTAATCGAAATTGCCCTATCACTCTCAGTTTTTGGAAAATGAAAAATTTCCTAAAAGGGCAAGATTTTTTAATAAAATGAAGGATTACACAAAAAGTAAAAAGTCAGGAGTTTCATTGTTGTCTTATAAGAAACTATCCAGGAACCACATTAGAATGACGCTCAATGTTCACACGACGATGAAATATATATCGGCAAACCATAAGCTGCATCTAGCTTCATCAGGACCGTAGTCATATGTAATTGAAATCAAAATCATTTTTCATTAGCTCTAACGTGTGATATGTATATATTTTCACGTACCTTTTTATGCTAATCGCAAAATTATACAAAATTCCACTCAATCTCTTATAATCTGAAACCACTTCGTAATTCGATTTGTAAGTACGAATCACTTTTTAATATACAGTTCTTAAAAAATAAACTGCCATCTACTCGGCATGTAATACTCGCTTTAGTAGAAAATACGTGGAAAATAAAAATATTTTTACATATATATACGTATCATGGAAGTTTATCACATGAAAGTGCGGATGCAATTATAGTTCATAAAAAATGCATAAATTGTGAAACTTATTAATAATAATAAATTGTTTACAACGTCAGTTTGTAATAAAAGTTAAAAAAATAATAAGTTTTATATAATAAACTGGTTAATACTTGAATTTATAACATAATTTTGTTAAAATGTATATACAATTTAGAAAAAATTTATAAATTACTACCCTGATTGTTAATAACAAATAAATATTGTTAATAACAAATTGTACACAAAGTAAATTTATAATACAAGTGGAAAAATTCCTAAATTATAAGCTATTACTAGTATATATATAACGTATTTGCTTGAAAATATATCTATAATTAGCAAAAAGTTAATAAATTGCTACATTTATTGTTAATAACAAATATTTTGCAGCGTATATTAACGATAAATGTAAACTGAATTAATAAATTATTGGCTACTACTTAAACAAGCAACGTATTTCTACTAAAATGTATTCGTAACTTACAAAAAGCTAATAAATTAATAAATTTATTGTCAATAGCAAATTAAAATTGTTGTTAACAAATTGTTTGTAACGTATATTAACGATAAAAGTCAAAAAGTTATTAAATTGTTAGTTATTACAGCGAAGAAGTAACTTTTAAAGGAATCGATAAAGTTCGGAAATTTTCGTCGATCTTCGCCCAGCCGCCGCTATATAAGGGGCCCGCGTGCAGACTCAAGCCAGTTGTCGCTTCGACTTCGGAGGGTGCGTGTTAATATTTTTTCTTTTTGTTTCAGGTTTTAATTATTTCTTCTTTCAGATTCTATTTCTTTTATTTTAGGTTTCATTGTTTATGCATTCGAGTATTTGTTACAATATTCGAATGTTTCGTCGTTGGTTTATTTGTATATCATCGTTGGCTAGATCAATGGCTATTCAGTGACCATTGTCCACTCTCTTGAATAATTTAATAATAATTCCTTCTTTCAGGTAATAATTATTTTTTCTTTCAGGTTTTAATTATCTTTCTTCTTTCAGATATTATTTCTTTCATTCTAGTTTTTATTGCTTGTGCATTCGAGTATTTCATACAATATTCGAATGCTTCGTCGTTGGTTTATTTGTATATCATCGTTGGCTAGATCAATGGCTATTCAGTGGCCATTGTTCACTCTCTTAAATAATTTAACAATAATTTCTTCTTTCAGGTTCTAATTACTTTTCTTCTTCCAGATTTTACTTCTTTCATTCAATTTGTCTCTTTGTTTCAGCATTCGAGTATTTCGTACAATATTCGAATGCTTCGTCGTTGGTTTACTTATGTGTCATCGTTGGCTAAATCTTTTCTTTCACAAATTTTACGACTTTCGTTCGATTTGTTTTCGTTAGAGCGTTCGAGTATTTCGTATAATACTCGAGCGCTTCCTCGTTGGTATGTTTATATCTCACCGTTGGAATGTTTCTGTCTCGTAGTTATGTTGCTCAGGTCTCGTCGTTGGCTTGCTCGTTCCATTTGGTTATTA